AGCTTGGCATTCAGACAAGGCAGCCATCAACAGGCACATAGAGATAAACAACATCTACACAGCATTCAAAAGAGACAATAAAAAGGAAAACAAAAGACCAGAACTTCTCCTCACCAGCAATCAACACCCAGTTATGCAGGGATTAACACCAGAATTACCACCAGACAAACAATCAAGCAGTAAACAATACCCTAATCAAGGAACTACCAACTCAGACAGACAATCAAACAGTAAGAACAGGCTAATTAAGGAACTACCAAGGAGAAACCCCCACCAACACTGACAGGGCAAGCTACTGTATATAAGCAGAGAACAAACCTCTCTCCCTTATAGCACTGAAGATGTTACCTAGTTGGGTAATGAAACGTCTGCAAGAAAACAACCAAGCTCAGAGAACCCCAAGGACTCTATAACCAGATACAAAATATTATTGTAAAATATCATAACACCTATACCACAGAAGAGCATATTCCTTAACCCTTTGATTAGTGGAAAATATTGCCTTCTCCAGGATGGATAATTTACATATTTCCAAAAGCTGATCTTTAACATCTGGAATTCTCCAATTTCCCAAGATTATTCTTTTAGCCACCCGCCACCTCCCCCCCCATGCGTGGCACAATCTTGATTCCTCACAGACAGTCAATTTCGAAAGCTTTGGTATATAATTCAACATCACATTAACATCTTTAACCTTTGAAGGTTTCTCCATAAATCTATTTAGATACACTAAAATGCGATGGCAGAAAAGTGTCAGATGTTTACCGGATCATATCATATGGGTCAACGAACCCTCTCCATATCTGAGAGTTTGCCATTTTATGCAATGCATACCTGCTCTTTTAGGAGAAAAATGTGTATTCCCCCTTTCTCACGCAAGGTTGACTAGATTAGTGGTGCCAGCTGGTGCTGAACATTTATACCCTTTGGCAAGTCAAAACCAGCAAGGATTGCGTGGGGTTGCAGGAACATTCATGGAGTAGGCCAGGAGCGATGGGGAAGAATGGCCGTTCCTGCATAGTGTAGGTCAAGCTTAGTCGAACTTTCTTTGCCTTTTTTTTTCTGGAAGCACAGTGACCATCAGATAAAAACAACTAAAGATGCTAAATTGTAAAATAAGAGAAAAAAACCAAAGCAAGAAGATGGGTGTAGATGCAGGTGAAAGCCAGGAGCTTCTTTGGTTTTTGAAAATGAAACTCTTGCATGTAATCAAAGTAACTCTATACAGAGGTCTCCTTGTTTGAGAACCCATCTTTTTCGTTGAGAAAGAACATAGGAAAATGTACGTGTATCACAGTTTCCACATTAGCAGGTTTTGCTTTAAGTAAACACCTATTTTTCCTCCTCCATTGTTTTGACCTTCTTTGGTGCTTGGAAAAAAAGAAGGGTCCTGTCTAGTCATATAAGATCCAGCACCTGCTGCCTGAGACCAACCTTCTCCCATCGGGACCTCCCTGCAGAACTGCCCACAAGCATAATTAAAGGGAACTTGATCACTTTACGTTCCTCCTTGGTTTGTCACTGCTTTCTGTGCCCATCAAATATTTCATTAAAACCTAACATTAAACTTTTAACAACCACAGTGTTTCAACTACCCCCTATTTTTGTTTAGTTTGGTGGGTTTTTTTACTACTACTATATATGAACCTGAAAGGTATAATCAGTTACAGAATCTTCTAACCTTCTAGGATGCTTTGAAGGAAGGAATGTCCAGTATGCTGGCTGGGGACTTCTGGGAGTTGAAGTCCACACATCTTAAAAGTTGCTGAGGTTGAGAAAGACTGGTCTACACCTGTACTGTAAAACTCTTGAAAGGGTTCTTCAAGGATATAGATGGGAAAGTGGACCTGGTTGACTGTCATGGGTGAATCCCATCTTTCTTGTCAACATCACAAGCTGTTCCAATGATTCAGGAAAAGTAACTGGCAAGCAAGGAGTGAGTGGCTGATCT